ATACACGACAATGCCAGGAATCAAACTCAGGTGTCTCCAAATCCACAGCTTAATCTCTTTCCAAACTCTACCATCCTGCCCTTCTTTTTGCTTAGCTTGTCTGTCTCCCCACCACCCTCACTTCCCAGTCATACCCATGCAGCAGGGAAGTAATAAAGTTCCTAAGATTTGGAAACTGACCAAACAGTTTCTAAAGCTGATCCCTGCACTCCAACGGTCCCTGTTAGTAAAGCTCATCTGCTCATATCCCAACTTGAAGCCTTTGAGGAGACTACCCCTTTATAAGTTATCCAATCAAGGCGTTTTCTCTTTCTTCCTCACAGTCTTACAGCTACTTTAGAAAGCTTTCCCAAATTAGGTGCATTCAATGTCAACTGTTTCTCTGCACATAAATGCTTAGAACATAAGTATTTAGTATACATTATTATGAACTTGGACATTTAAAAACTATATTCTATGATGCAACCAATACTGAATCATTTTCAAGTCTGAGTGTGCTTTTCTTTTCTGTTTTCTTATAGCTTGTATCAAAATATATTTCACAAGCCAGGTAAATAATAAACGTTAGCTAATTTTCCTGGACTCTGTGAGGAACCTGCTGAACCAAGAGAAAAATCACTGTCCAGCTTTCCTACCTGCTGGTGGCCAGGCCTTGATGTAGCCTGTGCAATGGACCACCACGAAGTGAGGTTCTCCATCCTTCACAGAGCCAAGTCCATTCCTAGAAGAATCACAGGTGTCAAGAGAAAACGCTGCCCAGGAAAACTTCTAAAGGGCAACGATGGCTTAGGACCTTTAACTTCAGGCTCGGGAGTGTTTAGAAGTCAAGGTAATGGTGCTTGGCCCTTTCCCACCCAAAAGCGACCCCCGCGTTTCTGAACCTTGCCAAAGTAAAGCAAACGGGAGTTACTACAGCAGGAGGAAAGGAGGTAACCCACGAAGGGCCACTTCCTGGAACAGGATGAGCAAGAGAAGCTTCAGAAGCTCAGAAAAATGTCAAAGAAAACAAAAGTGACTGGGGGGTGAAGAGTGAGGACTACAGGAAGGTGTTCTCTACAGGTACGTGGCCGTCCTCTGGTTTCCCTGCTGAGACTCTCACCTGCACCTGTTCCTCACGAAGCTTAGTCTGTTCATGGAGACCGGGCCCACAGAGCTATCGCCACACCTGGTTTAATGAACAGAGAGATTAAAAGCGGTCAGGCTAACCGATCAAAGAACTTTCCACCAGTAGCAACCAGATAACAGGCTTTGAATACAACTAGATCCTGAAAATTGGTAACAATGCTCCTAAAAAGGGAGGCTCAAGGTAAGTCAGGTTTGGTATTTCTAAAACTTACAACTGTCTTAGAATTTGAAGTCAGAATGTCCCACATGCTCTTCAAATGCAAAGCTTCCATACCCATCGGACCAAAAACCAAACCCATTGCCATCAACTCAATTCCAACTCATAGCAACCCTATATGACAGAGTAGAACTGCCCCATAGGGTTTCCAAGGCTGTGATGGTTAACGAAGCAGACTGCCACACCCTTCTCCCGTGGATATACATCAGAGTTTGGCAAATTTTCTGTATAAAGGACCAGACTAAATATTTTCGCTTTGTGAGCCGTACAGTCTCTGTCGCAACCACTCAACTTCACCATTCTGGCACAGAAGCAGCCACAGACGATACAAAAACAAACAGGCACGGCTGCGTTCCCATAAACGTTATCTACAAATCACAGGTCGTGGTTTTATCAACTCTTGTGCTACATCAGGAGTCCCTGGCTGGTGCAAAAGGTTAATGCCCTCAGCTGTTAACCAAAAGGCCGGCAGTTCAAATGCACTCCGAGGCACGTAGCAAGAAAGGCCTGGCAATCTTCTTCCAAAGAATCAGCCACTGAAAACCC